TTAGCGTTCTATTTCTTCTTTCGGCTACACCATTTTGTTGAGGTGTACGTGCGGCAGACAATTGATGTAGAATCCCTTGAGAATTGCAGTAGGCTTCAATTACTTGATTCACGAACTCTGTTCCACGATCAGTTCGGATTTTTGCAATTTTCAAGTCTTTCTCGTTTTGTAGTAGCTTGAGTAGTTCTGGCAACTTTTGCTCTACTTCATTTTTCTTTTTGAGAAATATCGTCCATGTGTACCTGGAAAAATCATCAACAACAACTAGTGTATATTTCTTACCACTTAGACTTATTGGGTCTATTAGACCGAATAGATCCATGTGTAGTAGACGTAGCGGTCTTGTTGTAGATTCTTGAGCTTTGGATTTGAAAGATGACTTGATTTGCTTTCCTCTTTGGCAAGCATCACATATTTGATCTTTCTTGTAAACAATGTCGGGTAGACCTTCAACGAGTTTATTTCTTGCCAGCTTGTTGATAGTCTTGAAGTTTAGATGATTCAACTTCTTGTGTCATTCCCAACTTGTCACGTGTGAGTTGTTTGCTAGTAGACACACTGATTCTTTTGTTGTGTTCCAATCCACAACATACATATTTTTCTTCCTTATTCCTTCAAGCACGACTTCTCCCAAGGAATTGTTCTTTACTTGGCACTTGTCTTTGAAGAACTCTACTAGATATCCTTTGTCACAAAATTGACTTGTACTCAACAAGTTGAATTTTAGACCTTCAACAAAGGATACATCTTCGATTTTCAAACCATTTCGAAATATTGTACCAATTCCTTTTGTTATGCCGTATCGTTCATTTCCACCGAATACGACTTTTGGTCCTTCGATATTTTTAAGATTCACAAGACTAGATTTATTTCCAGTCATGTGTCTAGAACATCCACTATCGAAGTACCAAACTTCCTGCAAATAAATTACACATTTTTAGGTACCCAACTTGATTTGGGTCCTTGGGTGTTAGTCATTTTTGGTACCCAAATCCACCTTGTACTCACTGATCTAAGTTTAGGTGATTGGTAACCATTAAACACATTATAATCATATTTAATTTTTGAAAACAATTTTTGTGCCGGTTTTTGAAAATTGACTCGATTTTTTGGCACGTGGGAGGTAGATTGTTTGAGCCTATGATAAGCATTAAATCTGGACTTAGTCCATGATTTAATATAATCAAACCAATCTTGGCTGGAGGGATAAAATCTCCCTGCCTCAATTCTTGGATTCCTTCCCATTTTCCTATGAGGGCTTTGTGCACTAGACTCATTGGTGTATTTCCATTTAGGAACAAACTTTTGTCTTTTTGCATACTGTTTAGGCGAAATATTGTTTCTTTGAGGCTTCGGCCTAACAGCATTAATTTTGACATTAGTTTGATGACCAATTCCTTGTCTCACTGTGCTTTCTTGACCTTTTACAAATTTTACTACTTGGACTTTATTATTTAAAGTAGTAGTAGAATTGGCCAAGTTTTTGGAGGCTTGAAACACGATGGATCATAACCGAGTCCGGTTTTATCACTTGAGGGTTTTTGCATATTTACCATTTTGTCCATTATTTTGGATGAATGTGTAAATGTTGCTATAACCTCTCTAAGGTTGTGTTCTCTCACTTCCCTTGATTTACACTCTTCTTGAAGACAAATAATTTTATCTTTCAAGTCTTTCACTTCAAGTAGAGCATTTTGCAACTTTTCATTTATTTGATCTTTTTCGAGAATCAAAAGACAATTGCGCTCTTTGAGTTGAGAGTGAGTGTCCATTACGGTTTGACATTCTTCCATTAAGTGAAAGAAGGACTCTCTATAAAATGAAGAATTGACAGAATCATAAGAGTTAGATGTTACATCATTTTCTTCACTTCCATTTGCCATAAGACACATGTCCTCGTAGGGTGAGTTGTTGGAGATGCTCATGCAAAACATTGCATTGTCATCCTTTGAGATGTCACTTTCATCACTTGAAGATTCTTCTGACTCACTTATCTCAAGTGGGTCACTAATGAGTGCTTTTCTTCTCTCCTTTGTGAACCTTTTATCTTTGGGCTTGAATTCTTCCTGTTGAGAGTTAGAAACATTTGTATATTGACTTTTACTTACCTTGGGGTGTGGACAACTTGCTGCAAAGTGTCCAGGCTTTCTACAGTTGTAGCACAAATTCGAGTCTTCCTCAACTATTTCTTTCTTTGAATTCTTTGTTGCATTCCACGATTTCCCTTGTGAATTTTTCTTGTAGTTGCTTCTCTTCATGAATTTCCTAAATTTCTTGACAAAGAGAGCAAATTGATCATTAGGCAATAATTCAACATTTTGTACTGACCTTGAAGTTGATGGTTGCTCGGCTATAAGCACGTTGTTCTTTTCTTCATGATCTTCCTCTAATTTTGATTTCATCTCAAATTCATAAGCTTTTAGATCACTAAAGAGCTTATCGGTTGATAGGGTTTTTAGATCCCTATGATCTCTCATGGCCGTGACCTTCATGTCCCATGTAGATGGTAGACCACGTAGAATTTTGAGTGAGATTTCTTTTTGATTAATATCTTTTCCAAGATCATTAATCTCTCCTAAGATTTTGGCAAATCTTGTTTCCATGTCGGTAATATTCTCGCCGTTTAGCATTTTGAAATCCTCAAATTTCTTTAATGCTATGGTGAGCTTATTATCCTTTTCTTCCTCGTCTCCTTCACCAATTTGAATGAGCGCTTCCCAAACTTCCTTTGCGGATTGACACTTTCGAACTTTTGGAAATATCGTGTCATCGATAGATTTAAACAAAATATCCTTGGCAATATTGTCCAAGTTATTTCTTGTTCTATCTTCACGAGACCATTCCGCTTTCGGTTTTGGAATGTATTGTGGAGTGTCACTTGTTTGTACGGATGAAGTGTTGACTTGTAAAATCTCAATAGGACCACTCGTAACCACTTCCCACATTTCATCATGTAACGCGGATAGATGTACCTGCATGCGAATTTTCCAATCATCAAATTTTTCTAAGGAAAACAATAGGTTTTGGGCAAGAGCCATATCTCTTTTCATCATCTTGATTTTTCGAGATCTGTCTAGCAGTCAAAATTGACTCGAATAGACAACCGCTCTGATACCAATTGTTGGTCCCGATAGGGTGGTGAAAGTCTAGAGAGGGAGGGGGGTGAATAGACTTTCAAGCTTTTTCAAAATAAATAACTCTTTGGTAACTTCAACTCTAAGTAACAAGTAAATAGAGTAAGTTTAAACTGCACAGCGGAATAATAGTATGTAAAGAGTTATGCCCAATCGATAATTTAAATGCGCATGTAAGATGGGTACAGATGATATGTAAAGTGACAGAGATATCTTGAATATATAAAGGAGATGGTGCACTCAATATATAATAACAATATTCAAGATTGTAAATAAATATCGTGTCACGTCGAACGTGTGACGAATGTTACATGCAACACGTCAAACTAGCTTAGAATAATCCAATATTTAAGCTTGAGAAGTTTGAGTCACATGCATATGTAGAAACACACTAAACCCGGATGAATAAGATTAACTGTGAATAGTAAACGGGTTAGTCGGATAAGATAGATAGATAGAGCAAATTATGTAAGTGCGGTATGTAAATGAGAGAGGCAATTTATTGTGGTTCGGAAGTGGCGTAATCTTCCTAGTCACTTTTCTCCTTTCACGTCTAGGAGAAATTCACTATTTTCCACACACAGTTACAATAGTGAATAAGTGCTACACAGGCACTTCTTCCGGATGTCTTGCACACAGCTACACCCAACTCCGAGTGTCTCGCACACAGCTACACTCAACTTCGAGTATTTCGCACACAGCTATACTCAACGCCAATCAAGTGTCTTGCACACAGCTACACTTAGCAACTACGAGTGTTTTGCACCCCATCCCAATCAAAGTTGGCATAATTAGTATTATATTTTTCTCTTATTAAATTAAATAATAATTTAGTAGCTACAACAAAAAATAATATATATGCATTTCTTTAATTTAGAATTATGTGTCTACAATGTCTTTATTCAAAAAAAAAATATTCATTATCAGTAAATTAAATAAGAGAAATAATTTCATTAGTTATATTGTCTTTATTTTTCTCCAATATAAAAATTCTTTACATTCAAATTCACCAATTGATTATATTCGCTACATTGTCCCTAAAATGTCTTTATTAAAAAAAATATTCATTATCAATAAATTAATTAAGAGAAATAATTTTATTAGTTATATTGTCTTTATATTTCTCCAATGTAAAAATACTTTACATTCAAATTCTTCAATTGATTATATTCACTACATTGTCTATTATCTTTTTTTGTGCACTATTTTTTAATTAAATATCAAAGTTATAATACAAAATAATGCTATATATTTATTTACCAATTATTTTATGAATACCATGAAAAAATTAAAAAAATATATAATTAATAAAGCCAATCATATTAACTACGGGATTTGTTGACAAAGAGAGTATTCAAATTACACAACAAATTGAAGTGAGAACTACCTCGCAATATCCTTGTTTGACAATCAGCAGTTAGCGGATTTGACCAGCGAATTATATCAACGGTTGGTAAAAAGATATTTAAAAAAATTAAATATTTTGATTAACATTGTAAAATGACCTAAGAGTATACATATAATAATAAGAGAAAATTTCAATTTTGGTCCATTAACTATTGGGGTTGTGTTAATTGCAACACTTGACTTTCAAAAATGTTTATTTAGTACCTTGACTATGCAATTTCTATCAATTTTGGATACGCCGACCAAATTACCGGCCAAATCTCACCGGAAAAATTTAATAGGTCAATTTATTAGGGTATTTTAGTAATTTTACTCCTCTTTTTTCTTCTCCAATAATATTCCCAATTTCCGGCGATTTCCGCGATGATTCTTTCTTCTCCGATGTGCAAGACTGTCTTCTCCGGGAGTGTCCATTACCAGAACCGGCGACGCCAACGCCGTGGTGATTGCAGTGTCTATCCATCTGGCCAGTGAGCATCAATCCAAACCTCTTGAAATCACACAGCAGAGACCAATATGGGTGCCCAAAAGTTGCAGGCATATTTCCCTCTACAAAGAAATGACTGTACCATGCTAAGCCATACCCAAAAACAGGCACAAAAACCACACACCACCAGTTGAACACTACTGAGTATATCAAGCACAGTATACTACACATTGTGCCTGTAAAATGCCACCGCCTTGTTGCTGCCTTGGTGTGCTAGTTCATGTAGAAACCCCAAAACTCCTCCATGCTCCTGAAATTCATGCCTCCGATCCTCCACCAAACCTCAAGATTTCTGATAAAGATCAGATCTTTCTGCAAAACCCAAATGAATTTTGATCCCTAGCAGAACAATTGATAAGAAAAGGGTGCTCGCCCAAATTGTTTTTGGTTCAGCAAAATTATGTTTTGATTTGGGGTATGATCATATACATTAAATTTAAGGCAGTTGACTAGAAAAATTGATATAAAAACAGAGTAAGAGGATCTATTCCACCAACTATGTAGTTTGGGAAATGAAGAAAAGACAAATAAAGATAGGTGGGTCTTGGGTCAAAAGAGTGGATGGTTGCTCTTAGAAATCTCTCAATTTTCTTGATGAGAAGAAGGGGGAGAAACCAAGATTAGGTTAGAGTTTGTTTGACTCGCCTGTAGAACAGAACAGTAATGGAAGAAGTCATTGTCGGAATTCGCCGGAAAATAGGAATATCATTAGAGAAGAAAGAAGAAGAGTAAAATTACTAAAATACCCTCATAAATTGACCTATTAAATTTTTTCGGTGAGATTTGGCCGGCAATTTGGCCGGCGTGACCAAAATTAATAGAAATTGTATAGTCAAGGTACTAAATAAACATTTTTGAAAGTCAAGTGTTGCAATTAACACAACCCCAATAGTCAATGGACCAAAATTGAAATTTTCTCTAATAATAATAGTAATAGTAATCGTAATAGTAATCGTAATCGTAATCGTAATAGTAATCGTAATTGTAATAGTAATCGTAATAGTAATAGTAATAGTAATAGTAATAGTAAAAAAATAGTAATAGAAAAAAAAAATAATAGTAATAGTAAATAATAATAGTAATAAAAGTAATAGTAATAGTAATAGTAATAGTAATAGTAATAGTAATAGTAATAGTAATATAGTAATAGTAATAGTAATAGTAATAGTAATAGTAATAGTAATAGTAATAGTAATAGTAATAGTAATAGTAATAGTAATAGTAATAGTAATAGTAATAGTAATAGTAAATAAAGTAATAGTAATAGTAATAGTAATAGTAATAGTAATAGTAATAAAGTAATAAATAGTAAATAGTAATAGTAATAGTAATAGTAATAGTAATAGTAATAGTAATAGTAATAAATAATAGTAATAGTAATAGTAATAGTAATAGTAATAGTAATAGTAATAGTAATAGTAATAGTAATAGTAATAGTAATAGTAATAGTAATAAATAAAATAAAGTAATAGTAATAGTAATAGTAATAGTAATAGTAATTAGTAATAGTAATAGTAATAGTAATAGTAATAGTAATAGTAATAGTAATAGTAATAGTAATAGTAATAGTAATAGTAATAGTAATAGTAATAGTAATAGTAATAGTAATAATAGTAATAGTAATAGTAATAGTAATAGTAATAGTAATAGTAATAGTAATAGTAATAGTAATAGTAATAGTAATAGTAATAGTAATAGTAATAGTAATAGTAATAGTAATAGTAATAGTAAAATAGTAATAGTAATAGTAATAGTAATAGTAATAGTAATAGTAATAGTAATAGAATAAATAGTAATAGTAATAGTAATAGTAAATAATAGTAATAGTAATAGTAATAGTAATAGTAATAGTAATAGTAATAGTAATAGTAATAGTAATAAAAGTAATAGTAATAGTAATAGTAATAGTAATAGTAATAGTAATAGTAATAGTAATATAATAGTAATAGTAATAGTAATAGTAATAGTAATAGTAATAGTAATAGTAATAGTAATAGTAATAGTAATAGTAATAGTAATAGTAATAGTAATAGTAATAGTAATATAATAGTAATAGTAATAGTAATAGTAATAGTAATAGTAATAGTAATAGTAATAGTAATAGTAATAGTAATAGTAATTAGTAATAGTAATAGTAATAGTAATAGTAATAGTAATAGTAATAGTAATAGTAATAGTAATAGTAATAGTAATAGTAATATAATAGTAATAGTAATAGTAATAGTAATAGTAATAGTAATAGTAATAGTAATAGTAATAGTAATAGTAATAGTAATAGTAATAGTAATAGTAATAGTAATAGTAATAGTAATAGTAATAGTAATAGTAATAGTAATAAAAAATATAATAGTAATAAATAGTAATAGTAATATAATAGTAATAGTAATAGTAATAGTAATAGTAATAGTAATAGTAATAGTAATAGTAATAGTAATAGTAATAGTAATAGTAATAGTAATAGTAATAGTAATAGTAATAGTAATAGTAATAGTATAATAGTAATAGTAATAGTAATAGTAATAGTAATAGTAATAGTAATAGTAATAGTAATAGTAATAGTAATAGTAATAGTAATAGTAATAGTAATAGTAATAGTAATAGTAATAGTAATAGTAATAGTAATAGTAATAGTAATAGTAATATAATAGTAATAGTAATAGTAATAAAAAAAAAAATAGTAATAGTAATAGTAATAGTAATAAATAAATAAAAATAGTAATAGAATAAATAGTAATAGTAATAGTAATAGTAATAGTAATAGTAATAGTAATAGTAATAGTAATAGTAATAGTAATAGTAATAGTAATCGTAATAGTAATCGTAATCGTAATCGTAATCGTAATCGTAATCGTAATCGTAATCGTAATCGTAATCGTAATCGTAATCGTAATCGTAATAGTAATAGTAATAATTTTCTTTAAAAAATAAAAAAAAAATAATTAAGCCAAACATATTAACTACTTGGGGGATTTATTGAAAAAAAAAAGTATTCAATTCACACAACAAATTAAAGTGGAAAACTACTTCGCAATGTCCTTGTTTGGCAATCAGCAGTTAGCTCTTCAATATTAGTATATATTTAATATTTTATGCCCTAATTTTTATTTGCTATCCCTTATGTCTCGTATTTGGTTTCAACAATACCAATACAATTATAATATTGACAATTATAAACAATATTGGGAAGAGAGATTTTTTAGGAATTGGGCGGGAAGTTAAAATTTCAGGATTTTGTTTTTATATATAGTATAGATAAATGTGCAAAGGGAATTGTATTACACTATTTTATAATTTTAGAATAGAATTTTAACCCAGAATTATTGTACGAATGGGAAAGTAGAAATCAATATATTTTATTGGGAAGAGAGATTTTCTAGGAATTGGGCGGGAAGTTAACGACAATATTTATATATATATATATATATATATATATATATATATATATATATATATATTAGATGTACTAATGCACAACCCTCACGCACCTTAAATTTTAACAACTACTCACATTAAGTACACACCCACGCACCGCACTGAAACTTAATTCTATATATGTATAAATAGTGGGGCAAATCCTCTTCCCAAATCAATGTGGGACAAAAGCCACTTTTTCCCTTCATTTTACCAACTCAATGGGTCTACTTTGAGAATCAATATCTCATTCACCCATTATCCATTTTGAGCGTACAATATATCAATCTCTTCGTCTCACTACGAAGAACCCGAATCCACTTTGACCGACCCAAATTGGAAGTGGACCCCACTAATAATTGTACCACAAAATAGCCACTTAAAATGCCATTTTAATGCTATTTTTTCAACAATTCCCCACATGAATGAAAAATTGATTTTCAGGGTATTTTGAAATCGGAAACAACTGTGTTCAACAGTCGATCCTGCATAGGATAGGTAACGGAACCTCCCAACCATGCTTTGTTCTCATGAGTGTGCGGTTTGTGAAGAATTGCGCCCATCATGAGGAATGTGCGGTTTGATTCTCCTACATGCTTTGTTCTCATGAGTGTGCGGTGTGAAGAATTGCCATGCTCTGTTCCGTAATTTAACTATGGGGATAGAACTTTTAGTCCAAAGGACTTAGACCCGAATTGCGCCCATCATGAGAAGGACTTAGACCCGAATTGCGCCCATCATGAGTGTGCGGTGTGAAGAATTGCCATGCTCTGAATTGCGCCCATCATGTGAAGAATTGCCATGCTCTGTTCCGTAATTTAACTATGGGGATAGAACTTTTAGTCCAAAGGACTTAAACCCGAATTGCGCCCATCATGAGAAGGGGCCATGCAATCTTTTAGTCCAAAGGACTTAGACCCGAATTGCGCCCATCATGAGAAGGGGCCATGCAATTCACATGCTCTGTTCCGTAATTTAACTATGGGGGTAGAACTTTTAGTCCAAAGGACTTAGACCCGAATTGCGCCCATCATGAGAAGGACTTAGACCCGAATTGCGCCCATCATGAGTGTGCGGTGTGAAGAATTGCCATGCTCTGAATTGCGCCCATCATGTGAAGAATTGCCATGCTCTGTTCCGTAATTTAACTATGGGGATAGAACTTTTAGTCCAAAGGACTTAGACCCGAATTGCGCCCATCATGAGAAGGGGCCATGCTCTGAATTGCGCCCATCATGAGTGTGCGGGGCTCTGTTCCGTAATTTAACTATGGGGATAGAACTTTTAGTCCAAAGGACTTATACCCGGATAGAACTTTTAGTCCAAAGGACTTATACCCGAATTGGGGGGAACTTTTAGTCCAAAGGACTTAGACCCGAATTGGGGCTGTTCCGTAATTTAACTATGGGGATAGAACTTTTAGTCCAAAGGACTTAGACCCATTCCTCATTCCATTTTCTCAACAACCAATCTCAATTTGGGATTTGATTTGCGCCCCCCTGCGCGCAAGAGAGAACCTCTGTGCTATACATTCAATAAGTTTCTAAAAGACTCTTGTATAAATAGTGTGGCCAATCCTCTTCCCAAATCAATGTGGGACAAAAGCTCACTTTTTCCCTTCATTTTTCCAACTCAATGGGTCTACTTTGAGAATCAATATCTCATTCACCCATTATCCGTTTTGAGCGTACCATATATCAATCTCTTTGTCTCACTACGAAGAATCTGAATCCACTTAGACCCTACCCAAATTGGAAATGGACCCCACTGATAATTGTACCACAAAATAGCCACTTAAAATGCCATTTTAATGCTATTTTTCCAACATAAATAAATTTAAATTTTTAATATAAAGTACTAATATTGGACACATATTTTTGGGCATCACGCATAAAAGAATACTAGTATATATATGCGTGTGTATATACATATGTATACACACACACACACACACACACACACACACACACACACACACACACACACACACACACATATATATATATATATATATATATATATATATATATATATATATGACATATATACACCCACACACGTGCACTGCTTTCTTCTTTTAGTTAGCTGCATAGGCGATCGCCTAGGCGCTAGGCGCTATTCTACCGGCCGACTAGCGCCTAGTGCCTACTGCAATCATGCTCAATATAGTTCTCTGTTTCTTAATCTGTCAAATGGATGTTATATTCAAGGATAATTTAATAATTTCCAAATTAGGTCTCTAATTTACTCCACCGGGCTGCAAATTCCCTCTGTTACTCCACCTGAGAAAATTCCTCTTTTACGAATACCAGTAATTTCGCCCAAGTAATTCTCATAACGGAAACCCTAAGGAAGCAAATTTCTTCCCTAATCAATCGAAGGCGATCATTGAGAAGTTGGAGCAGTTGAGCAATGGATCCAAGACGAGGGAAAAGGGGCGAAAGCACTCCGAAATATGGTAAACATTGTTGTATGGTTATGAATAGTAGTGTGATTGGTAATAGGTACTCCGTATCTATGTATGTTGGTTTGTGTGAGCTTATATATGGATTAAGGGTTATGTTTTTAACTGTCAAAGGGGACCAATGTATTTGTCTATTTCGAAGCATAAAGTAGTATGTGAGTTTGTCATTTTGTATTTGATTTTTATGAAAAGTGAAGCTATTTGGTGAGGAATGGTCCCCATGTGATTAGTATTAAGAAATGGTCCCCATTTGTACTGAGTAAAGCATATGTATTTACTGTGTTTATATTCAATTGCAATGTAGGGGACCACACGTGTCCATGTGCTGCTTGATTTGTCTGAATGAGTAGTGATTAGTGTGTTAAGAAATAGTCCCCATTTGTACTGAGTAAAGCATATGTATGTTGATGTAGGGGAGCACATGTCTCTATATGTATGTACTGTGTGTATATTTGTATTGCATTAAATATAAGACTATATTTGTGCAGTTGAAAGTTGTTTAGAAATGGTATATGTGGTTTGTTTGAGTTACATTCAGATAGTGAGACATGGCCTTTGGTTAACTCTCTTTGTGTTAGTAAGCCTGAGTTGGAAATATGGGCAGTAAAGTCGTCAGAGTTCACAGAAGCTTCTAACATAGGAAGTGATATTGAAGAACATGATTTGGAATCTAACATTGATAAAAGTGATGAGGATTATGACGATGAAGTGTTAGAAGAATTTTATGACTCTAATTATGATTTGGTTGAAGGGAAGAAGATGATAGAGACTTTGATAAATATGTTGATGTAACACTGGAATATAGGGGTGTACAAACAAGTCCAGTGGCTGAACATGGAGTAGAGAGTGCTAAAGTAGGTAATGATGGAATAGAGGGTGCTATAGTAATTGATGATGTATTAGATTTATCTAACGGAAATGTAGTCAGTGATGGTGACAATGATGAACACAGATGGCCTGTTTTTAGAGCAAAAATTGACGTGGAAAACCCCATCTTTTGCAAAGGATTAACCTTTGCTAGTAGAGAAGACTTTAAAGAAGTTATACGAAATTATGGGATTAAGAATGTGAAAGATCTGAAATTTGAAAAGAATGACAAATTGAGAGTGACAGTGTGCAGCAAATAAGAAGGCTGCCCTTGGAGAATCAACTGCATAAAGTTAAAGAACACATTCACATTGAGAGTTTTAAGTTATAATGTGAAGCATGAAAGTTGTGGGTGGATATACGAGAACAATATGATTACCGCCACCAAGACTGCTAAGAGATGGAAAAATGAAATTAGGAACCATAGTGATTGGAACATTCTAGAGTTTCAAGGTAAGGTTAAAGCTGATGACAAATTCAGTCTAATAATTAAACAATGTTATAAAGCAATGACACTATCAAAGGGTGACATAAAGGGTGAACAAGAGAAGCAATTTAGAAAATTGTGGAGCTACTGTCTTGAATTTTTTTTTTTTTTTTAAAAAAAAAAAAAAAAGAAGAAACATTTAACCTTATGTCAACTTACATTGTAAAATTAAGTGATTATGAGGAACTTGGAGGCAAAAGGAGATTTTTGAGGTTTTACATGTGTTGGGAGGCATGTAGGGAGGGTCATAAATATTGTAGGCCTATTATAGGGGTTCATAAGTGTCACTTAAAGGCAAAAAATGGGGGGCAATTATTGACAGTTGTTGGGATAGATCCAAATGACATCATTTTTCCGTTGGCTTATGCAATTGTTGAAGGGGGAAACAAAGAATCTTGGACTTGGTTTTTGCAACTACTTAAGAGAGACTTGGATATGTCAGAAGTGAATGAGAGTAATAGATGATGATGAAGGTTAAGTTACGTGAGCGGTTCTATCCTGCTCATGTCAAGGAAGCCTATCTTGTGCAGCCGACCCCTACCGAGTTCAGCAAGTTCAGAAAGGAATCCGGGAGAACCGTAAGAGTAAACTTGAAAGAAGTGTTACACCAGTGGTTAGGAGTTTGTTGGCTACTAGTGCTGAATCAACAAGAAGCCTTCAAAGAGACGACTCTAAGAGTGGTAAAACTCCCCAGCCAATCCGGAACAACAAGGCTAAGGGAAGGCGCTCCGTTTGCAAGAAGTGTGGAAGTGACCACCTCGGCGTGGACTGTCTTGGGAAACCGGTAGAGTGCTTTAAGTGTGGCAAGAAGGGTCACCGGTCCTTTGAGTGCAGGGTTAAGAGGAAGACTTCAGTGGACTCAAAACCAGTTGGTAGTGTGGGACCTCGGTCGGGAAGTAAACCTTGAAGTGGAAGCAACAATGGACTAAGTGGAAGTCGCATCCCGGACTTGTGTACGAAGTCGGAACCTCGGCAAGGCAAGATCCACAGTCGTAAGGCAGATGCAAGTGGGAACCGATGAAGTAAGCTCTTGTACCCTTTTGTTGCACCTTCCTTTGTCTTTGTGTCCTTCATTGCGTGTTAGCTTCGGGCGTTAGCTTGTTCGAAAGTCACCCTTGACCCTCTTTAATATTTTCTTTCCCCTAGACAAACTCAATCACTCTTTTTGCCAAGTGATTTTTTTCTTCTGAACCTTGTTCTTGTTTTCTTTCCAAACCACCTTGTGCAAGGCAGCGGTGACTTCAGCTTATGAAGGAATCTGGCAAGGTCTAAGAGTTAATTCGTGGCAGAGTCGAAGTAGAGAACCTTCAGTTCGACAAACTTAGTGTTCAGCGTCAAGCCGAAGTTTCGCCAGAAATCGTGAACCCTTTTGTCTCTTGAAGCCGATCTTCTTCTCTTACCCTCGTCAAATCCCTTGCCGTTCTCGAGAAATCCTTCATGTCTTTTCAAACCTTGTTTTTGTTTCCTTTTTGATTTGACTCTGTTCAAGGTTACAACCTCATCTTTCCTAAGCTGTGACTTTGAAAATCTTGATTCCCTTCCTAATCAGCGCTATCCTTGAGCTTAAACCGGATACCCTCCGTGGGGAAATCCTTTTCAACTCTCTTAACCCTCGCTTGATTACTTACTTCCTAAGTTGTAGCCCTGTTTACCTTTCTTCTCTTCTTAACCGATGTGATCTTCGAGTTTTCAAACCTTAAAACTCTTCACTCTAATATTTTTCATTGAACCGAATCTTTTCTTGTAAGCCTTCTTTCCCCTAAGTTACCTTTTTCCTTGTTACCGTTCCTGTTTTGGACCTTTCATCCGAACCGAAGCTTTGAAGTTTTCAAGCGTTTCCTTGCAGTGAGTTGTGGTTGTGTGTTAATGCAAGTGTTAAGTTGGCAGCCTGCATCAAGTTAGCCCAAGCGCTGGGGAGAAGGACATCCTACTCGTGTTTTGGAGCTGGCAATTGCAGCCTTTGTCTGGAAGTGACGGATCAAGTTCAAGCGGATGCCGAGCTCAAGTTGTGTAGTGTGAGTATCCTGCTTCCTTTAGTTGAAGAAGTCAGTAGAGGACAATTGAAGACGCCGTCCTAGTTCTTTGATCCCGAGGGATCTAGCTTTAGAGTTCTCTTGGTGTTAGTTTTAGTTGTAGGTTGTGTCTTTTCTTAGATGTCTAAATCTGGGTAAATCGGTGGCTAGTTTTAAGCAGGGAGTTAAGTTTAAGGTAGGGTTAGTTTCCCTTTCTGTTAAATCTTTTATCTATCACCTTATCTTTCTTTCTTGCCTTACCTTTGTGAACCTTCAGCTTATTTCTAAGCCTTGTCACTCGTTTTGTTAACCGACGGTTTTGGTGTTGAACTTCGTTGTGTCCAAACCTATCAATCTTACCACCTTAATTTGAACCCTTGGTCTCGTTAAATTTGGTTAGTTGGCGAGCACCTTTATTGTTTAAAGCCTCGTTTGCAACTCATCTCCTAAGTCTTGCCACCCGTTTCACAAGCTAACTGTTTTGTTGTGTAAGCTCGTTTCTTCCCTCGTTTGTTGTTGCCGTTTTGTTGTTGTCACTTGTTGGCTGTGTTTTGTTGTTTGCTCTTGCTCATCTTGCTTGTTAGATGTGGTCGGAGTAGTTAGTGTAGTGGAGTGCTTTGCTAGAATTTAGATGTTTTGAGTTTAAGTGTGGTTTAGAAGGTTTTTAGTTATCGTGTTTTGGCCTTAGCGTTTGTGTTGCTCAAGGAATTTCTCTTGTGATCTCTTAAAATCTTGCAATGTCTTGACTTCTTGACAATTTTAGACCTTTTGAATTCTTGAAGTTTTGGTCAAAAGATGTTCTTGCTTTCCTTTGTCACATTGTTGATTCATGTTGCCCGTTTTGTTTGAACTCGTCGTGCCCAAGCTTCGGGGACAAAGCTTCTTGTTAGGGGGAGAGGATGTGACACCCCGTACATCCAAACTCTAGTTAAGGATTAATTAGAGAATTAATCCTAGTCTTCTTGTTAATTTATTCCTAAAATCCTGAAAATTCAATAGTCGGAGGACTAGAATTTGACTAGTCAATCCAAGTCAAAGAGTTGTACCTTATGCCTTATGAGTTGTTCCTTTGTCTCCTTATTCTTCCAACTTTAGTAAGGGCAAAAGAATCTTTCTACCTAAAGCTTGTGCTCCAAGCTAACCTAGCATCATCCTTTCATTTCATCCACCAACACTCTAAACACAAAACCTCTACCTTCTCTCTAAGAATTTGGTAGCTTCTTCTCCAAGCCAAATTTTGGCATCCTAAATCCTACAAGTTGGCTGCCCAGATTCATACTTTCTTAACCTTGAGCATAGAGGAGGTTGGTGTTGAAGAAGAGCTTTAGGGGAAGCTTTTAAGGGTGAGAAAAGTGAAGTGTTAGGCTACAAAGGTAACCCATGCTTTACAAAACCTATTTTCTTACTTATATGATGATTTCTTGGCTTCTACTTGAGATTCTTGTGGTGATTTGTGAGATTTGATGCATTGTCTTGTGGTAATGCATGTTTAGAGCTTGTTATTAGGGTTCTTGTATGCCATTGCTTGACTATTTCTTGGATTCAAGCCATATTGTTGTATTGTGTGAGATTTTGGGTTAACAACTATGAACACCTTCACTAGAGCAATGATGAATATTCATCAATTGGATGTAGATGCATTTGCATGGTTATCTAACAATCATCCAAGTGAATGGTCAAGGTCTCATTTTACTACTTCTGCACAATGTGATATATTGGTCAACAATATATGTGAGTGCTTCAATGCAATGATTTTGGATGCAAGGAAGCTGCCACTTATACCATGCCTTGAGGCTTTGAGAAATTGAGAAATCACTTAATGGCTAGGTAGTTCAGCTGTAGAAAAAAATTGCAATTAATGAAAATGCACCTGTAAGTTATTTATGTACTCAATGTGATGAGGATTTGTTTGAAGTTAGAGGGATGTGGGATGATGGTCAACAAGTTGATTTGGGGGAAATGTCAAGTAGTTGTAGAAGATGGGAATTAACAGGAATTCCTTGCAAGCATGCAATTAGGGCAATTTGGTTGAAGAAATTACAAGTCATCAACTTTGTTAACCCAATGTGTTCTACATAATGTTACATGAAAGCTTATGCAGGTTCCATTAACCCTATTGCTGGGCCAGATGAGTGGCCAATTACAGATAGATAATCACCACTACCCCCATTGTACATATCATGTAAGGCTGGTAGACCAAGAAAATTAAGGAAAAAAAGTGCAGGAAGGCACCAACAAATGAGTCAAACAAGGAGATTAGTGATCAATACGCTATTGTGTTTAGTAAACATTGTAGCAATGAATGTGAAGTTGTTGAATCTTTTTTTTTTTGTTTTTTTTTTGTTTTTTTGTTTTTTTTTTTGTTTTTTTTTTTTTTTTGTTTATTTTTTGTTTCTTATTATCATTATGCTACTGCTATTTGGTAATATTGCATTACTGCATTATTACCATACAACTACTGGAATGTGTTACAAAGTTGAATATAAACTACAAATCACATTATATAAACACCAAATCACATTTAAACTGCAAATGCAGTTTTCATTGCAAATCAACTTATATTATTTCAATCTAAGTTGAGGTGGTGAATCTTGTGGCTAGGTGCAAGAGGTTGATGAACATGGACTGGGACGTGAAGATTTCTCATGTGTTCCGGGAACAAAACAAGGTTGCAGATAGCATTGTGAAAGAGAATAATAATATGGAGCGGGGATGGATCTTCTACGATCATCCACCTGAGGACATCTTGAGCCTGATTAGTCGAGACAAGGAGGGACCTCCGTGCGTTTGTCGTGTGTTTGCTGATCACTAAGAGTTTGGTTTTTGGGCTTGCTCCCTCCTTTTTTTAAAAAAAAAAATCTAAGTTGAGTAAAACTTTTTTTTTTCTCCAAAACTCCCCACCCTTATTACAAGTTAAATATACATCATAGTACACAACACTAATACCGCTACCAACACAACTTTCCCATTACACTTGGCGTCTTCATTGGCAGCTTCTTGAATCCTTGCATTTAGCATCTTAATCCGGTATTATCTTCTTCAACTTCGGTCACATAGGAGGATCATACCATTCCAAGAAACCACAACCTCTTTGGCGGTATTAATTTTTTTTTTTGGAATCAAATCAGTAAAATTTTTTTTACAGAATATGTAATTTGGAGAAATATTGGACAATGATTATTTCTTACCATGTTGCCTGAGCATTCCCAAAACCTCCTTCCAGGATTTTCATTCGTCCATGAAGTTTTGAGTTTCATTTCTTGATCACAATGACAATTTGGAAATGAAATATACTCACTATATAGCCATTATTGCCTCAATCTGATTGAAGACGAATTGAAGAACCCCCTTCGTTCGCTTGAATTGTTTCCTCATATCAGTTGAAGACAAAGGTTTTCCTTGGTTGCCTCGTTGCCTCATCCCTTGTTGCTTCCTTCCTTAGGGTTGTTTCTTACAGTTCCTCATCTCAAGTCGTAACATAGATAGGGAATTAGCAGGCCGGTGGAGTAAATTGGAGACCTAATTTTGAAATTACTAAATTATCCATGTATTTAACACCCATTAGACACATTAAAAAATGGAGGACTATATTGAGCGAAAACACAAAAGTCTGAGACTACATTAGGTCACCAAAGTCGTTTAGGAGAAAATTGAGAAAAATTACTATAGTCGATGACTATTTTGGATATTAACTTAAATTTTGTTTAATATAGTTTAACTTTGAAGTTTAAATATTTCATATAATTATTTAAAAAAAATTTAGAATGAAAAATTTTCAAAAAAAATTAATTGTTAAATTTGAACAATTTTAAAAATACAAAATAAAATTTACAAACAAAATTTTTTTAAAAAATTACCGGATTTCGGTTCTGGTTCGGCCGATTCCTGAACCGGAACCGAACGTCTAGAGGTTCCTTCTCTCAGTCCCGCTCTCCACACTCGTTCTGTTTCACTTCCCAGTTCCCAGTGAAGAAATTGAAAAATTCTCACATTTCTAAACAGTTTTATCTTTCTCTTCCTGCATTCTCAGCAGCAGCTCCGATTGACGCCGATGAGCTTCTTCCTATCAGATACACAAGTATATACACATTGAGAGAGAGAGAGAGAGAGAGAGAGAGAGAGAGACAGCGAGAGTATCTAGGGTTTTAAGAGTGATAGACAGACGGAGACAGAGAGATGAGCGTATGGAACTATGTGGTGACGGCTCACAAGCCAACTAACGTTACGCATTCCTGCGTCGGCAATTTTACTGGTCCGCAGGAGCTCAATCTCATCATCGCGTAAGCCTACTCTCTCAAATCGATGTGTTTTCATTATTCAACAATTCTCTGATGAAATACTCTTAGTTATTTTTTTTTTCATTGTATATTCATTTTTGGTATATTTTTCTAGTTTTTCTTGAACTGCCAGCACCAGTATCCACCTAATTGACCCTAGGAGACTAAAGAATTCTTCAATTTGTGACCCTTCATCCATGAATATGTCTAGTTTCTGCCCTACTTTTACATACATATAGATTCTAGCTATTCTTATTGTTTATAGCTTTGATCTTGGCATGTAGTTACGGGAGAATCATTTAGGAGAAAAAAAAAATTAAGGCTTTGTTTGTTTAGGATGGAGGTGGGGGGACCGAAACATGTCTCTGTTCTATATATCATGTATGGGAAGGAAAGAAATGAAACAAAAGAACAGGAAGGCTGTATGCAATGCTTAGGGTTTGGTTGCCTAGAATGGAAAAGGAAAAGGAGAGGAGATTGTGAATAGAAAGCAAGAAGAAAGGGACTGGCCTTCCATTCAGCCTATCATGTTTGATGATGGACCAGCGGCAGTGTGGGAGCTACCTCTCAAAGTGAGGGGGGCTCCTTGTGCGCAGTAAGCAAATGTCTAGCCTCTGTGGTTCATGTTCAGTTGAGTTACCATGATTTACATCCTCCCAAATGCTCTGTCGGGTCGGGGTGTGGGGGGCCCTTAGGGTTGGGGTTCAACCTTTTGGAAGAATGTTTGATGATGGAAAAGAAAGGAAAGAATATGAGACATAGTACATTTTAGAGGAAACTAAGAGTACCGAATAACAGAAATGCTTTACATTCATACTGAGATTAAAAGTCTGAAAACTGATCTCCAGCCAAGTGTTGTGCTTATTGATTTCCTATGTAAAAAGTAAGCGGTGATTCCTCTTGAGTATACAAGTTCTGCCAAGTTGGTTTATTTCTGAATACTTAATATTGAATTTCTTTTTTATATTCGATTTGTTAATTTTTTTTTTGTGATATAATTTTCCATCAGGAAATGCACTCGAATCGAGATTCATTTACTCACTCCTCAAGGTTTACAGGTGCAATAGCTTTCTCCTGTTACATTCTAGAAAATGACATGGATGAAGCTTCCAGCTTATACTGGGAAAAATATTATCTAATCCTTACAGCTAGTATTCTTTCATTTTAACAATGAACAAAGGATCATCATTCATTTCTACACCATGCAATGGCATTTTCTTTCTTCATCCCACAGCAACAATATTCATAATCATCCTGAAATTATGAATTTGAGTTCTGTAAGTTTGTTTCTACAGCCAATGTTGGATGTGCCAATATATGGAAGAATTGCCACACTTGAGCTTTTTCGTCCACATGTGAGTTAAAGTGTTGAACCTGTGATATACATTTTTCAAGACAATAAAAAATGCATATGGTGCAACAGCTGTGATAGCTACATGTTGGTTATGATATACTCCATGTGTGAAATGCTTATTGGCAGGGTGAAACACAAGATCTGCTTTTCATTGCAACTGAAAGATACAAATTCTGTGTTCTTCAATGGGATGCAGAGATATCTGAGGTTATTACGAGGTCTGCTTTCAAAGCTCCTCTATCATATTACTTTCTTTCTGTGAAGTGAAAATTATAACTTGCTTCGGCTACCTCCACTTACCTATATGGTAGGCTAGTAACTTTCTATGGTTCATGGGCATATTTACTCTACATTATGGGACTATTAGAAAAATCATTGATTAAATCCTGCTTGTGCAAATTAATTCCAACTGTTCTTTAGACACCTTGATTAACACTCATAGATCTCCCAATCAAGGTTATCAAGACGGACTTTCTAGGCGAGATGCCACCGACTGCCTAGTCGACTAGGCGACCGCCTAGGCGATGAGTATTAAATAAATAAAAAGTATATATATATATTGAAAATATCTTCTCTTGGGCAGCCTTTTTGCTGGCATATTTACTTCAAGTAGATGAATAGTTTTTCCTAGAATAGTGAAAAGTCTAGTATTTATTGTATATTGAAAATATCTTGTCTTGGACAGCCTTTTCACAACCCTATTTACTTCAAGTTGTCTTGAGAAGATGAATAGTTTTTCCTAGGGTGGTGAGAAGTCTAGTATATATTGATAACATGCTAGAGTGAGGGAGTGGGTTTTGCTCGGAACAGGAGGACGACGCCGGAGCTTGAACTGCGCCGCCATCAAAGCCACCACGCGCCTCCACGCGCCGCCGCTGTGCCGCTGCTCCGACACCACGCGCCGGCGCGTGAGGCAGATTCCGGCGACTTCTCCGGCTGAAAATTACACCGGTCAACTCGCCTTAGTGTGTAGGTTCTGCCCATGTATGTTTTGTGGAGTTTTGGGTTGTATTCTACACTTAGGCGAGGCGAGCACATTAGGCGTACGGTCTTGACCGACCGGACGCCTAGGCGTCGACTAGGCGTCGCCTAGGCGACGCCTTGATAACCCTGCTCCCAATCGTTGTTTTTTCTTATTATTTCATTTTATTTTTCCAGTATGATGACCTTTATGATTTTATCCTTGTGATTCCAATTGTTAGGTTTGCTATTATTTATCTTTGTATATTTTTCCTCACAAAATTATAAGTGTTGGTTGACTGTAGGGCGATGGGGGATGTCTCTGATCGAATTGGCCGTCCCACAGATAATGGGCAGGTATTCTTTAAGTTTCTCAAAAATATATTTATGCTTAAACAAATCTATATTTAAGTTTCTCAGAAATATATCCATGCTTGAACAAATCTATATTTAGGTGTTCTCTCTCTCATTATTGTTATTTGAAATTTTAAGCTTGGAAGGTCTACCACCTGTGGTGGGAGGGGCCTAGGTACATCCTTGCTTGGTTGTATTAGTAATCAACAAAATATGTTCCACCAATGATACGATCTCACTCGGCTCCACATGAAATTGTGGAGTGGTTCTTAAGCTTGGGCCAAACCTCTACTCATGAGCTAGCTTTTGTTGTGGAGTTAGATTCTTGGCTTGATTACCGTATCATTTGGTGCTCTCGTTGAAAGGCCGGAGTGTGGTGGCTGGTGGGAAAGGGCTACCTAGAAGAGGGTTACTCCGTGCTTGATAAGGTTCAAAAGGAACTGAGAAGAGTCCGGAGTGAAAGCTATCCAGAGTGAAGCCGTCCACTCATCTGGTGCCGGCGTAGCGGAGGGGGCGACCTAGGAAAGGGCTACCTAGTGCTTGATAAGGTCCTGAGTGAAGCCATCCAAAGGGGAAAAGGGCAACCTGGTGCCGAGAAGAGTCTGGAGTGTGAGCTGTCTAGAGCCGCCGGGGACGTTGGCTTCTCAAGGGGTGGTGGGTAATGATACGATCCCACATTGGCTCCACAAGAAATTGTGGAGTGGTACTTAAGCTTGGACCAAACCTTCAGTCAGGAGCTAGCTTTTGTGGTGGAGTTAGGGTCTTGGCTTGAGTGTCGTATCACCCAATCCCCCCCTCTCCCCGGGGGTGGTGGTGAGGAATGGCCTAGGAGACTACTCCAACTCCTTGGTGCAAGAGTTCTTTATTTTAGAATTAACCTTTTCCAACTTTATTTTTGTTAGATTGGCATAATTGACCCAGATTGCAGATTAATTGGACTTCACCTATATGATGGATTATTCAAGGTATTTTTCCTTGATAAAAAATGAAATAATGTTTTGGAGCTTGATTCACTGCATTAAGTTTTTCTTGTCAGTACCTTTGAGAATGATTCACTATTTGCTTACCAGGTTATACCATTTGATAACAAAGGCCAGCTGAAGGAAGCTTTTAACATCAGGTACCCATCTTCTCTCTCTTTTGTTCATCCAGTAACAAAATTTGGAGGTTACTTTGAGCGATAAATGTGTATGGACTCCAGATTCTAAGAGGCTAAGACAATGAATTGCATAGTTATTTTCTAAGCGGGTAGTTATTACCCATTTTCATTATGCTCTAGAAACAATTATGTTACTATCTTTTTCCCTCTTAAGGCACCCAAATGAATGAGAAAGTTTATCTAATGCCATGTGTTCTTTCTAATTATTCTTGAAGGAGCAAAGTAAAGTTTTAGCAAATATAGTGAATTAGTGATTCTGATAGGACAACCATTATGTTCTATTATTTGAGTGAGACTGAAGTGCAAACTGCTTATCTTTTAGATAACTAAGTACTTTATTCATTTTGTATGTCTTTTTTGGATAATAGGCTTATGATTCAATTTTTTGTAATATTTAATTTAGTATTACTAAATAAAATTTATATATTTAAATCAAGATTAAATGTTTTATTAAAAACAAAAAGCCAAATTTGTAAATGATAAGAAATTGTTATAGTAAATATGCAAAGAAAGAAGAGTTGGTTTCACTAATAAATAGTAAATTATAAATAGGACAAACAAAATCCAACAAGAGGGAGTAACTTTTTTAGTTTTCATGTATGGGAGTCTGTTGAGTTCTAGGATTTTCCCAGACTGTTGATCTTTCATGGTTTTGTTTTTTTCAGGCTCGAGGAACTTCAAGTTTTGGATATCAAATTCTTGTATGGTTGTCCAAAGCCTACTGTTGTAGTTCTTTACCAGGTCTCTAGCGCTTTCTGTATGGACTAAATTGGCAGACAAATTTTGTTGATGTGCTTATGTTGTTGCCCAGTTACGTGCCCCCAAGTAATCTTTGTGGAATATAATAAATAAATAAATGAATAATAAAGCTATCCCTTTTTCTAATGGCATAAACTTTTTTGTTGGAGTGGAACATGTAATTCGACATAGTATCAGATTCAACCACGGTCTTGCTTTCTAATCTCATTTGCTTTCCATCATCAAAATAATTCACTTTCCACTCCCTAAATCTAGTCTAGCTTGAGCTCTTATTTGATTTCAAATTCAAATGCATAATTCGATAGTGTTGTATTTATTTGTGCCCTTGTATGCATTCTTAAAGTTGTCTATAGGGTTTTCCTAAAGTTTTGCATGTGCCTGATTGTTTAGTAAATTTAATTCTTGTATCCTTTACCATGATTGACAGGATAACAAAGATGCTCGTCATGTCAAAACATACGAGGTTTCTTTGAAAGATAAAGATTTTATTGAGGGTCCATGGTCTCAAAATAATCTTGATAATGGAGCTGATTTGCTCATCCCTGTGCCATCGCCCCTTTGTGGTGTGCTTATTATTGGGGAAGAAACCATTGTATATTGTAGTGCCACAGCTTTTAAAGCAATTCCCATTAAACCTGTAAGTCCTCTCTCTCTTTCTCTCTCTCTCTCTCTCTCTCTCTCTCACACACACACACACACACACACACACACACAAATATATATCCTGCCCATGTGTTCACCAAATTTGAACTTCCTATAGTGACATGAAGCATCTTAATAATTTTTATTTCCACTTCGAAATCTATTTCTAGTCCACTACAAAAGCATATGGAAGGGTTGATGCTGATGGTTCTCGCTATTTACTTGGGGATCACAATGGGCTTCTTCATCTACTTGTTATAACTCATGAAAAAGAAAAGTGGGTAGCACTTATGAACCGTTATTTGTACCTTCAGTTAAAGCTTACAGTATGTTTCTCAACTTGCTTAATGAGCTTCCTATCTTTTGGGTTCTTATAGAGTTACTGGACTAAAAATTGAGCCCTTGGGAGAAACTTCAATTGCATCAACAATTTCGTACCTGGATAATGCTGTTGTCTATATTGGATCTAGTTTTGGTGATTCACAGGTATTTTGCTAAAAAGGGGCATTTCCTGTTTTAATGCTTTATGCTGTGAGGATAGCTATACCCCTCATATCATTTTTATTTTCTAAATGAGAAAGTATTCATCATTTGTCTTTATTGGATCTAGCTTAGGTGATCAACATTCAACATGTATTTTTAAAGGGGTGTTTCCTGTTCTCAACCTTTTATGCTGGGAGGGTGGTTATAACCTTTTTTGTTGATTTGCTAAATCTCTTAGCAATATATATTTGTGCTATATGTTCAAATAAAAATGAGTATAGAATACTTCCTCTTAGATAGGAAAATAATCATTAGATCCTTAGACTAGTGACTGTATATATCATATGTAAAGTAGTGGGTTGGTCTAAACTGTCTACCACCAGCAGCAAACTTCAAAAAATACAAAACACTAGTACCTAACTTGCTTGAAACATCAAGTTGGGTATGCAATATTAGTTATTGAGCATGCATTCATAGCTCCATATCATGGAATATTTATCAACAACTTAAATTGGTTGGACACTGTTCCTGCTGCACACTTTGCTGTCGTGGCAATCATCTGCTGGCATTATATCACTCTGCATTGGTTCTTCCATTTCCTCCAATTTGAATGCAAAACTTTTGGCATTTGATATTGACTTTCCTCTTTCCCATTTAATGCAGCTTATAAAGCTTAATTTCCAGCCTGATTCAAAAGGTTCTTATGTAGAAGTTTTAGAAAGATATGTCAATTTGGGACCAATTGTGGACTTCTGTGTGGTTGATCTTGAAAGGCAAGGTCAAGGTCAGGTCGTAACTTGCTCAGGGGCATATAAAGATGGATCTCTTCGAGTTGTTCGGAATGGAATCGGTATTAATGAACAGGTTTGCTTCCTCAAAGTGAAGTTCTCTCAATGTACTTCCCTGATTCATCTTCATGATGAACTTATGTTGTGTCTGTGACTTGTAGGCATCTGTAGAACTTCAAGGAATCAAGGGGATGTGGTCACTTAGATCTGCTACAGATGATGCATATGACACTTTCTTAGTTGTGAGCTTTATTAGCGAGACACGAATTTTGGCAATGAACCTTGAGGATGAACTGGAAGAAACTGAGATAGAAGGTTTTAACTCTCAAGTACAGACTTTGTTTTGCCATGATGCTGTTTACAATCAGCTGGTGCAGGTACCATTACGAGTATTTTTGCAGAACATTATTGCATTTTTAGTATTCATCTGTTTTTTAGTCTCCTTAGATTTTGCTATAAGGGGGCATTTGATTCACAGAATGTTATATATTACCTTAGATTATTACATTACTCCCTAAGACATTACCTTGTGGATATAACCTGGAAGGTGCTCAATTTATGTTTGGTTAAGATTGGGGGATGTAATATTAATTTGTTTGGTTGAGGGTGTTATCTTTTTAGTTAAAAAGAGCATTTTACTTTAATGCCCTTAAATCATTTGCGAACTTGTGAGTTGTGAACTCATCTTGACCTTTCATTTTGCTTGGTCTAGAGGTTGTAATTAGGTGTAATAATCTGTTAGGTTAAGGCATATTTGACAGTCGTAGTCCAGTAAAGATTTTAAGTGGGTTTGCTCGGACTATGTTATGTATGAATGATCTTTTATATTTCATAGAAGATCTTGGTCCTTAATTTATAGTTCTCATATTAACTGATCTTGAATTAGGGTGTTATCTTTTAGTTAAAAAGAGCATTTTACTTTAGTGCCCTTAAATCATTTGCGAACTTATGAACTCATCTTGACCTTTCATTTTGCTTGATCTAGAGGTTGTACTTAGGTGTAATAATATTTTAGGTTACTCTGTTAAGGCATATTTGATGGTCATAGTTCAATAAAGATTTTAAGTGGGTTTGCTCGGACTATGTTATGTATGAATGATCTTTTATATTTCATAGGAGATCTTGGTCCTTTATTTATGGTTCTCATATTAACTGATCTTGAATTAGGTGTAGCTATATCAGAAGCTCATATTTCTACCCATCTCAATTTGTATTTACTTGGATGAATGAATGATGATACAAATCTGTTTTTTAAGAAAGATTAAAGTGCACATAATTTTTTTTTTTTTTTTAAATGTGCACTATAAGAATGATAAAAATGCATAATCTCAATAATTAAAGTTCAAAGTATAACAACTAAAGGTCCACAATGTGATGTTTAAAAGTGCATAACATAAAGTCTAAAAGTGCAAACTGTAGGCGCTAAATGCTCAATATAAAGATCTTCAAGTGCCGAATATAAAAACTAAAAGTGCATAAAATGATATCCAAAAGTGTAGAGTATAAGCAGTAAAAGTGCGCAATACATAATGTAAGGTGGAGTATAAGCACTAAAAATGCATAATGCAAAACCTAAAAGTGTTAAGTATAAGCACATAAAGTGCACAACATGATATTTAAAGTGCATAACAGAAATTCTAAAAGTGAAGAATATAATTACTAAAACTGCACAATACGAAATCTTAGAGTGTAGAGTATAAATATTGAAGTGCATAATATGATATAGTGCACAACAGATATGTATAAGTGTAGAGTATAATCACTAAAACTGCCAATATGAAATAAAGAAGTGCAAAGTTTAAATCAGTAAAAGTGCACGATATGTCGATATGTTATCTAAAAGTGCATAAACGAAACTATAAAAGAGCATAACAAAAATGGTAAAAGTGCTCTTAAAAAAACTTTCAAAGTGTACGGCAAAAATTCCAAAAGTGCACAACAAAACTCTAAAAGTGCATAGTGGTATATAGAAGCGCATGACCTAAATGTTTAAAAGTAAGCTATAAGATTGTTAAAGGTGTAGTTTTGGATGCATAATAAGTGAATAATAGAAACTCTAATAGGGAAAAAGATGAATGCTACAAGTGCATTTTTCAAATGGTTTAAATTGCATAATCAAACAGATGAAAGTGCACTATACACTACTAAGTGCAAAGTATAACCACTAAAAGTTCACAATACGATAATCTAAAAGTACAAAACAAAAACTTTGAAAGTTGGATTACATTTTCCATTAGTCATTGGAGTTTTTTACTTATTTACCATTATGCCACTGCTATTTTCTTTAAATCTGCAATCATAAATTTTGTGTGATTGACGATGGTGAAATGTTTGTAGTTTTTACTAAGAGCAATGACTTTTACTTGATTCAACCCCTATATATGTGTGTATATTTTAACCGGCTAAGATGAAAAATCATTCCACATTACTAACCTTATCTTACAATACTTGAGGTGGATAAGGTAATAATTACCTTGACATTACCTCAAAATTTGATGTGACAATAAATATCGTTACTGTTGGTTATCTTATAACTTGAACTAGACAAGATTTATATTGCATAACTATATTCAGATTACTTTGGTTATCTTATATAATTAAAACCAAATGCCTCCCAAATATTTGGTCCACTCCACTTATAAGATATGATTATTCTTTTGGTTTGCTATAAAATCAATAGTTCTCTTCATATTTTCTTATAAAATAGAGGCCACTTGCAAGAGAGTAGTTGATGATACTACATTACTTGTTTTTTTGCCTGGCAGAAGTTGGCTAGCATGTAAGGGGTTGAAAGGATTGGTTTTATTTGTATTTTTCTATAATTCTTTTTAAGAAAAAATTTAACCATGTTCTTGGGAAACCCACCAAGATCACATTTAGCAAGTTTCCAATGAGGTATGTTTTATGTGAATGGATTGACATTTCCTGTGCCTTGCTTATTTCCTTTACCTATCAAAGAAAGATTTATATGCTTCTTTTTTCACATTTCAAACCCAACCTGGAAAAAAAAAAAAACTAAGGCCTATTTAGTAACCAAAAATTGTTTTACATTTTCCATTTTGAATCTTTTAAAAATTTTCAAATTCTCATTTTCCATGTGAAACTATAAAATATTGGGAAAAGGGTCAAATAAGCTTTCGAACTTTTGGTGAAAAAGCAATTAGACCCTTGAACTTTAAAAAGTTCCAATTGCACACGTGAACAGTTGAAGTCATTAAAATTGTGCATCCAAGTCTTTTAAACCACTTTTTATTTGTAACGTTCTGTCACTTGCCATATCTATGCCACATCTGATTTATACAGTATATTTAATCTTATAATTATTTTATATATCATTTTTTATAATATTTTATTTCAAATTTTTCTTGCTCCAACTCATACTTGTGTTCTCCGTCACTGTCTTGCTGCTGCTGTCGCGCCGTTCCTGCGTGGATCAGTTGTGATGCCTTCTTCAGATATGAAGAAGGCCGTCTGCTTCCTCAGATCTGAGGAAGGCAACAGTTGCTGCCTTCTTCAAATTTGAAGAAGTCAGTCGCCGCCTTCATCAGATCTGAAGAAGACGGCAGCATCACCTTCCTCATCTGAGTGCCATTGTTGATGAAGGCTCTCCTTCTTAGTCTCCAGATCTGGCGATGAAGAAGGCAGACATGGCTACCTTCAATTTTTTTTTTTTTTTTTTTTTTTTTTAATTTTAAATAATTGTTTCCCCTCCAAATCTTGAGAAGAAGGAGGGAAGAAGAAGGCAGCCTGCCATGGCTGTCTTCAACATTTTTTATTTTTTAATATTGATATTTATTTTTAATTTGTATATGAGATGGACTTTAAAAAGGACATGGCAGCCACCGCATTGGAGTTAACCGGCTGTTAAGGTTGGATGCACTAAAATAACAAGTTAATGTACTTGACTGCAACTTTTTAAAGTTCAGGGCCTAATTGCTTTTTCATTAAAAGTTTGAGGGCCTATTTGACGCTTTTCCCTAAAATATTTTCAAATTCAACTATTTTTCTTTTCCTATACATGAAATCTGAAATCCGATTGTTTTCTTCATATAAAAATGCAAATGAGTTTAGAAAGTTACCATGGTATTGAGTGGTGGGGGTAGAATAGGTAAGCTGTGGCAGGGGGCAGGTAGATAGAAGTGTGTGTAGACAAATGGTGGTGGGTGGAAGCAATGATAATGGAAGTAGTGGCTATGGTGGGGGTGGGGTGTAGGTAGGTGGGCGAGGTATATAGGTAGTGGTGAGAGTAAATAGGCATGCAGTGCTGTAGTGGTGGGTGAAAGTAAGTGATGATAGTAGTGGTGATGGTAGAGGTGATCAGGTAGGTAGTAGTGGGTGTAGGTAAGTGGGTGGGATGGAAGTTTATTGGTAATGGTGATGGTGATCATAAGTGTAGTTACGTGCATTTTTGTATTTGAAAATTTTGGAATAAACTAAAAAAAAGTGTGATCCAAATTCTTTTCTTAAGTTAGAAAAGTATTTTCTATTTTGGAAAATAGTTTATTTTAAACAGAACTCTATTTTCCATTTTTTAAAGAAAACTGGTGAGAATTCTCCCATTACTAATAGACCCTAACAAGTATAGTTTCCTTGTTTCTAGAGACTTCTAGAAAGCATTTGATTAATTCATTGATGGTCAATGCTTGATTGATTTTTTATGACTGGATCCTATAGAACAATATCAGCACCAATTTTTAAGAGGCCTTTGGAAGCAAATGTTTTGGACCAATATCAACTTTGGGAGCAAGTTAGCCAAAAATATTCTGAAGGGAAATATTATATGTAGCCATTGTGCTACTGACTATGTAAAGAATAGTGGCAAGTACTCGTTTAATATGTTCCTTTTATTATCCAGTTGCATTAGAAACTGTCGCACCTAGTTCTTTCATTTTCTGATTTCAGTGCTGTGCTAGCTCTCTTGGAAATTTGATCGATCATCATTATTAAAGTGCTATGCAGAAGTAGAGGAACCTGTTCAGTAAGAGTTCATGAAACAGTTCTCTGTTGTTTGGCGTGAAGATAGGAAAATATGCTTGATATATACTTTTGTTATGACTTTTCTTTTGGAAAAATTCGTTTTCAGAAACAATCATAAATCATTATGTAATTGTTTCTGTTTGAAGCAGAATTAACATATTATGGTAAGTTTGCAACTGAATCTGGACATTTTATGTAATACGGAGTATATTTATTTTTCTCCCAGATAAATAAATCCTTTGTTTTCTTACATATAGACTATATATAAGAAAATCTCTAAAAATCATTTAGTGCAACTGAAGCAAAACTGGTTTTTCATTTTTCCTTGGTGTTTGTGGACTCATTTCTTCTAACACTATGCAATTGCCAATTCACTGTTTCAGGTTACTTCAAACTCAGTGAGATTGGTCAGCTCTACCTCCAGAGAGCTGAAAGATGAATGGCATGCTCCAGCCAATTTTTCAATCAATGTTGCCACAGCAAATGCCACACAGGTCATCCATTGATAAGTTTTGCATTAGAATCACAATAGAGATTGCTATCATTGATTTATCAAGTTTTGGATGCATTTGCAGTACAATTGTAGCAATTTTTGCTTCAACCTCTTGGAAAACTCTTTTCCTTTTGTTTTCTCTTGTTCGATTCCTTTTCTTCAGAGACTCTGGACATTGTTTCATGCATTATATTTAAATATGTTCGTCTTTGGGTGTTGAGCCCCGGAAGGAATTCAAATTTTAATCACTTGCATGTATTGGCCTGTGAATATATTTTTTTATGTCAATTGGTTAGCTCTTTTGGCTCATTGGATGCTGTTTTATATTTGTACAGGTATTATTGGCTACAGGGGGTGGTCATTTAGTTTACCTAGAAATTGGTGACGGAAGGTTGATTGAATCAAAACATGCGAAGTTGGAGTATGATATCTCCTGCCTGGACATAAATCCAATTGGTGATATTCCAAACTATAGTCATCTAGCTGCAGTGGGGATGTGGACTGACATAAGTGTTAGAATGTATTCACTACCTGAATTGAATCTCATTAGAACGGAGCAGTTGGGAGGAGAAATAATTCCTCGCTCTGTTCTTCTGTGCTCCTTTGAAGGGGTAAGTTCTTTTCTTAGTCTTGTGAATATTGTAGTGCTCTACTCATAGGATCTGTAACGAGGTATTAGAGGAGAAATTATAGCACTAGGAAAATATTTTTCCTTGTATCTATGGAAAATGGGGAAGATGTTTTTTTCCTATCATTTTACACCAGACTAAATATAACCTCATAGTATGGGCTCTTTTTCTTGCAAATTTTGTATAAATGCATTTTGTTTTCATGTGAAAAGTATGAACTTACTGGATACAGCAAGAAAAATCCTTGTACAACTTTGGATACCATGGGGTTGCGATGTTCCCTTGGAGATGGTCATTGTGCCATTGTAGGATTTGTAGTTAGGATGCAATCATTATGCAGCTTTATTTCTTGTAGCAATGAGTAATCCTCTCTGCTGCCTGTTGTAATAACAGAATGATATATTTTCTCTGTTTGATCTGAAGTTTTGCCACTTTGTTTCTTCCAGATATCTTATTTGCTATGTGCCCTTGGAGATGGTCATCTCATGAGTTTCATTTTGAACATGCGTAGTGGTGAGCTAGCAGATAGAAAGAAAGTGTCTCTTGGAACTCAACCCATAACACTCCGTACTTTCTCATCAAAGAATGCGACACATGTTTTTGCTGCTTCTGATAGACCAACTGTCATATACAGCAGTAACAAGAAACTCCTTTACAGCAATGTGAACCTTAAAGAAGTTAGTCATATGTGTCCTTTCAACTCTGCTGCCTTTCCAGACAGGTAACTTTCTATCCACCTTCTATCTGAAATGTTTCTGATTATTGGGAATTCCATTCTCAACTCCTGATATGGCAGTAAACTGATATAGGCATCAACATCCCCTATTTTAGTTTACTATCACTATAAATATTTAGGGAATTTATTGTTTCCAGATGATATAAGCATCTGTAGTGTACTGTTTCTAAGGTGATACACTTTTGGAAGCTGATCGTGAAGAAATGTGCAAAATATGCATCAGTTCTTTAATTAGAAATTGCTCAAACTTGACTTCAGAAACAAACAAACCTGTTTTGCACTCGAGCATTGCTGTGTCTGTACTAATAGAAAATTAAAATCACTATCTTGCTATTATGTTACTTGAGAAGCTATGCATGATTACTCTTTATTTTGCTGTTTGCTAACAAGGCTGGAACTGTGTAGGCTAACCATTGAATGACTAGTTAATGTTACTGACGTGAAATTAATTGGAAAAGATGCCTTTTTATATGCCTTTCCTTATTTTCTTACCAAAGTTGACATTTCTTGTATAAAGTTGCTTTTAAAATAGTGGATGGCAAGTGCAACCATAGAATGTCTGGTAAGTGCATATGTTATTAATGAGTGATCCAGTGCCTTAATACTCTATCCTTTGTCAACAGCCTTGCAATTGCCAAAGAAGGTGAGCTAACAATTGGCACCATTGATGACATTCAGAAGCTGCATATTCGCTCGATTCCACTCGGAGAGCATGCACGTCGTATCTGCCATCAAGAACAGACCAGGACATTTGCCATATGTAGTTTGAAGTATAATCAGGCAACTGCAGATGATTCTGAAATGCATTTTATCCGCTTGCTAGATGACCAAACATTTGAGTTCATATCAACTTACCCACTTGATCAATTTGAGTATGGTTGTTCCATACTTAGCTGCTCCTTCTCTGATGATAGTAATGTGTACTACTGTGTTGGAACTGCATATGTGATGCCAGAGGAAAATGAACCTTCAAAGGTATGATATTGTTTACCAAGACTTATGCATCCATTCTCTCTAGCATTGTGGCGCACTCTGCTTCAATGTTATCTAACTATAGGTTTAGACTTCTCTCTCTTCAGCAAATCAGGCTTTCTGAAATTCTCCAAAGTTAATGGTATGAATGAGTATGCACACATTCAAGTAGAATTGCTGGTATAAATTACTTTTGCAACTCTGTTAGATACAGGATAGACTCCCACTGCACCAAAGTAACACATTTTCTCTTGCCAAAAAATATTTCATATCTTCTAGTCCTTTAACATAGGCCAAAAGGGCCTAAACGATCCAATGAAGTTTTGAACAGTTATTCAATATTCTGGCCATAAAAGTCAGCTCTATTGAATGTGATAGCTTTATCACATCTCTATATTTTGTATTCATGTGTGCCCTTTTATCATTTCAACTCCATTTCATACTCATGATGCAATACTTTGTTTTTGGCAGAAGAGAAATCAAATATACTTAATTCTGAGTTCTATAATACCCCAAATAATTCTACCATCATAAACTGGTTTCTCCTAATTGCCATCTCTGGCCAGTACATAGCAGGACTAGATGGATAGTATAGTCAAGGTATCACATCTAAACTATTTAGATGTCTGAACGACTAGTCAGAAGATATTGGTCTCTGACTGTTTGAATGAGCTGATGCCTCAATGTAGCTCAGAGTTCATATTAATATAAATATTTGCAGATGCATGGAATTCTATTTATTTATTTAGTTTTGGGGAATGAACATATTTGCAGGGACGAATATTAGTTTTTATTGTTGAAGATGGGAAGCTCCAACTAATTGCAGAGAAAGAAACTAAGGGAGCCGTATACTCTTTAAATGCCTTCAATGGAAAATTACTTGCGGCAATTAATCAAAAGATTCAGTTATACAAGTGGATGCTGCGTGATGATGGAACACGTGAATTGCAGTCAGAATGCGGACATCATGGTCATATATTAGCCCTCTATGTTCAAACTCGTGGAGATTTTATTGTTGTAGGTGATCTGATGAAATCAATTTCTCTGTTAATATACAAGGTAATGTTTGGAAATACCTTCATTTTTGAGCTTCAAAACTACATCCCTGCATTTCTAGATTGCTATTACAGTAAAACGCTGTTGATGATATTCTCATCTCTTGTTTAGCATGAGGAGGGTGCTATTGAGGAGCGAGCCCGTGATTACAATGCTAATTGGATGTCAGCTGTTGAGATTCTTGATGATGACATTTACCTTGGTGCTGAGAACAATTTCAACCTCTTCACAGTTCGGAAAAATAGCGAAGGTGCCACTGATGAGGAGCGCAGCCGTCTTGATGTGGTCGGTGAATACCACCTCGGTGAGTTTGTTAATAGGTTCCAACATGGTTCTCTGGTCATGCGGCTGCCAGACTCAGATGTTGGCCAGATACCGACCATCATTTTTGGCACGGTGAATGGCGTTATCGGAGTCATTGCCTCACTTCCACACGACCAGTACATCTTCTTGGAGAAACTGCAAACAAACTTGAGGAAAGTGATAAAGGGTGTGGGAGGGCTGAGCCACGAGCAATGGAGGTCCTTTTATAATGAAAAGAAAACCGTCGAAGCCAAGAACTTCTTGGATGGAGATTTAATCGAATCTTTCCTAGACCTTAGTCGGGTTCGGATGGAAGAGATATCGAAGGCTATGGCCGTTTCTGTGGAGGAACTCATGAAGAGAGTAGAAGAGTTGACAAGGTTGCACTAATCATGCATCCTTATCTTGTAAAAGAACTGTCATGTTGATAAAATCTGGGATACAATTTTTTATTTTGTTTTCTGGAAGTCTGTCTACATGTTTTAACTTTCTTCGTCTATGTATTTTTGTGATTTGGCATGTATCTTGTCTTGTTACAAATTCTGGTGCTAGTTATGAATGTTCTTTGTCAAATAGATTTCGTTTTAAACTACAAATTTGCACTGCTAGGCCTTATTCAGGCTTAGTATTTCCACTCACTTTCAGTTAACTAAATATTCGATCTGCACTTAACTAGCCGAAAGTCACTAGAAAATAATTTGTATTATGGCAGAAGTTTTTGGTAATTTGATTTTTTTTTTTTTCCGAATTCTATTCAATCCGCCTTTAAATTCGGAGTTCTACTATGTGTACTCTTAAATTCTACTCCCTTACTTATACTCTCTGAGGTGCAAACTAGGATTGGTCATTTTCATCATATGGATCCACATAAAAATGTCTACATCAAGAATATGTGAGGGTGTGAGGGAGTAAAAATAGGGAGTATAAAAAAAGGAGTACACTAAGTATTTTTCTTAAATTCGTTCCTCTAGAAAGAGGGGTTCAATGAGAACACCAATCGTTATATCGTGCAAAAGGGTGCACAATGCATTGTGCGCCCCGCCCTGTCCAAAACGACGTCGTTTTGTTAAGTTCTGCGGGGAGTTGACGTGACGGAGTTCATGTGTATTTTGTTATACAATTATGTACATTCTATTAGATAATTATGTACATTTAAAACATGAGATTTATTTTAAGAGTTTATGTGTATTATGTTAAGAGTTTATGTGTAAAATGTATTATGTTAGATTATGTGTATTATCCTTTTAGAAAATTATATGTATACAAAAATTTAAAATTATCATTTAATTATTTACAATTAACTCATACAATCTTTTAACTTCATATATGTTAAAGCTCTTGTTTTTTATTTTTCTCCAGACCTATAAAATGATAAGTCCTTCTCAGGACACCACCGGCCACACTACTATTGTCATCACCTCAAACTTTATGTTTTTATCGGTCAAGAAAGGACCCAATGGACAGAGCTTTCGGCAAACTACTCGTGTTCGTGTTCGGTAAGCGTTCGTTTATGTTCGTTTGTTAAGGTAAACGAACATTAACAAACAAAATTTAGAGCTCGGTTAATAAACGAACAGAGCTTGAACAGTTGTAAGCTCGTTTGCTAAGAGATCGTGAATAAGCTCGTTTGTGTTCGTTTACTAATGTTCGTGAACAAGTTCGTTTATGTTCGTTTAATAATGTTCGTGAACAAGCTCGTTTGTGTTCGTTTAATAATGTTCGCGAACATGTTCACAAACATATATTATATTATATTATATTAGTTTTGTAGTTGTGTTGTTTGTTTGAGTATTGTTCGTGAACGTATATTATTTATTGTTCACGAACAAATTGTGATCATGAACATGTGCAGGTGTTTGTTTATTAAGTATTCATGAACGTAAATGAATATGTTCATGAACGTGTTTGTTAATGAACATGTTTGTGAACGTGTTTGTTAACATTAACGAACACGTTTGCGAACGTGTTCACGAACATTAACAAACACATTCGTGAACATGTTCGTTAACGTTAACGAACACGTTCGTGAACATGTTCGCGAACGTTAACAAACACTAACGAACGCTTAACAAACGAACACGAACATGATTTTCATAAACCTTAACAAACGAACACGAACACGAACACTCCAAATTCCTTAATAAACGAACACGAACAACCTCCGTTCGTTTATGTTCGGTTCGTTAACAGCTCTACCAATGGTGCCTACCTACCGGAGCTTTTTTTTGTTTTTTTTTTTTAATTTTTTTTTAATTTTTAATTTTTAATTTTTAATTTTATTTAAGTTCAAGATGCTAATTGTACTTTCTTGAATACTAAAAAGGGGTTATTTAACCATTATTATCCTTTTTTTTTTTTTTTTTTTTTTTTTTTTTTTTAGCTCAACATGCTAATTGTACTTTCTTGAGTACTAAAAATGAATTATTATTTGCATGACATTGTGGTCAAGTGTTATGAAGTTGCTCTCTCAAATGGGAGGTTATAGGTTCAAGTTTTAGGGGTTTAAACTTGTAACATTCTATTTAGGAGAGACACAATTATACCGTTCGATCACAAAGTTTTGACACCCTTATCCCTTTTAATTCTTTTCAATTAACCTATATAATCTTTTGAACTAAATAATCACTCAATCATTTGTAGAAAAAAATTCACTTTTGGTCCATTGACTATTGTACATGTATTAAATCTGATATATATATATATATTTTTTGAAAATATTAAATCTGATATTTAATTATTAATATTTTCAAATTAGGTGCATGACTATGTAATTTGTATTATCTTTGTCTAATTTTATGTGTCGGGTCCGGTTAACGAGACTTGATTGAAGCTATTTACAATTTAATTTTTTATAACATTAAGTTTAGAATTAGTATATGTGAAATTTATATATTTAGAAACTACATTAAAATACTATTAAACCCAAAACTTGAAATTTAAAAATTATGTAGGACGGATAAAATGGGATAGAGGGAGTATCACATTTGATCATTGATTATTAATATTCAAATTGGGTGCATGACTTTGTAATTTGTATCACATTTGGTCCTACCGTCTAATTTTCTAGCCAAGTTTCCAGCCAACTATTGTCGGAATTTCAACGAGAAAAATAATTTTTTTCGGCAATAGTTGGCTGAAAATACTCTTTTAATTAGAACATAAATATTATTATTTTTCTTTGAAATTCCAACAATAGTTGGCTAGAAACTTGGCTAGAAAATTAGACGACATGACCAAATGTGATACAAATTAATATATAGTCATGCACCTAATTTCAAAATATTAATACTCAATACAATGACCAAATTTGATGTATGTATAATAGTAAAGAGACCAAAAGTGAAAATTTTCTCATTTGTATTTCATATAGATTTAACTTCATATATTAAGATCTCTTGTTTTTACTTTACCCGCGCCTATAAAATGATATGACTAAACTTTATGGATAGGATGCAATTATTATTGCGTGGACCATGATCCAAAAATAAATAAAGTATATTATTCTAACTCATAAAATATATTATTTTAAAACATAAAATACATTATTCTAACTCATAAAATATAGGGAAACGATACAAATAGGCCATTGAACTATTGAGGGATAACAATTAAACCACCGAACTTTAATAAGCTTCAAATTCATCCATGAACTCGGAAAAAAAAAAAGAAGAGCAATTAGCATTTTTAGCAGGTTAACAACAAGTTTGCGCTGATTGAGATGCCATGTGTATATTTTATTTATATTTTATTATGGCAAAATCGCACTTTTGGTCCCTCAGTTAGTACCCCATTTGCAATGTTGTCCTTGCTTTCCAATTTGGACAGATTTGGTCCCTCAATTAGTCCGACATTTGTCAATTTAGTCCTTCAGTTAGTTAGCCATCCTAACTCCGTTTACAGCATGGGTATTATAGGAATTTCACTTAGCCTTGAATATAATAGCTTAGTTTCTTCCCGTTGCTCCGCCCGGTCTACCATTTCCGCCACCACACTACTGTCTGCAACCCTAATATTCTACACCTCTAACCCATCCGAAGAGAAGAGAAGACGTCATTGATGCAATGACTAGTAGGCAGATTAGTGGTAAATGAAGTCCTACAACAAGAGAATGCAGTCTAGAGAAAGACCGGAAAAAAGATAACAACTCAAAAGAAGAAGTAAAACTGAATTTGGTCTAGTTTGGTAGTTTGGTAAACTTTTGTACACTTTGGTCTAGTTTGGTAGACTTTGATCTTTTGGTAAACTTTTGTACTAGGCTCAATCTTTTGGTTAACTTTTGTACACTTTGGTCTAGTTTGGTAGACTTTAATCTTTTAGTAAACTTTTGTACTAGGCTGAATCTTTTGCTAAACTTTTGTACTAGTTTGGTCTACTTTGATAATGAATTAATGTGCAGTTTGGTTGGCAGTTTGTGCATCTGGATTAATGTGCATTTTGGTTGAATACTGGTTTGGGAGTTGGTCTGTGGTCTTTGTTTTGGTAGTTGGAAGTATGGTTTTTGCTTTGGCATATTGTTGTTAAGTTAGCCATTACTGCATTTTGCTTTGGCATTTAGCCATCTTGCTGTTAGTCAAATAAAACCATAGCACTTATTCACTTTTTTGGGATTACATAGATTAAACAATATACATATGTTTTTAAAGTACAGATTAGTTGGCCCGTGAGCGCACTAGACGGAGCTATGGTTCCTAGTTTAGTTAATGACTAGCTTTAGTTTAATGGCTTGTGAGCCATTTGTATTCGAATGATATTTATGGATTATGATTAGTTAGTTAGTAGCCGCACGCGGAGGCATGCCATCTAAGCGGCTCTCGCTCGTCGTTGGGGGTTGAGCCTTGTTTTCCGCCGTGGTCGTTCAACCGTTAAATTGTCTTATCTTAGTTGTGCCGTGAGGCTTGTTGGCTTGTAAGTCCTAGGCAGTCAAGGATTGAGACCGTACGGTAATGTCCCTGGGGTTGAACCGATCTCTGTACTCTTTCAGGCGGTTGATTTGCGTCGGGTAGTCGGTTACCAGCAATCTGGGTGGTGTTGGTTATCTGGGAGGGCTCTGGGGATTCGGCCATCACGGTTTGGCCGTGATGTAGGGCCTCTAGGAGGCCTGCGGTGACCTCCACTATTTCAGGTGAGAGCTCTACTGGCAGGTCCGTGGGACACCGACGGCCGGTGGGTGTGTGTTCGAATGGACCTCGTCCTCTTCCTGGGGATCTCCCAGTTCAGCCTCCCCCTCCAAGGGAATATGCCGACCGATGGTACCTACAAGGGGGGTCGACTGAGGGTTTCTCTCTAATCTCTGACAGGTTTAGCGACTGGTTGGTCAGTACGAGTATTTCGTTGTGTGGTTACCATGGTTTTAGGGTTTGAGGAATGAACGAAAGCTTCTCGTATTGATCTCCACGGACGACACCAATGTTGGTTTTATGAATTTTGGGCAGTCAACGTCAGGCCAACACTATCGTTAGAGTAACGAGATTATAGAAAAAATATAGGCAAAATATATGGAGAGAATATATGTATTTTGTATTGATGAATATTGCTTGTGAATAGGGAAAATTACCTCCCCTCTCCTATATGTGAGGGGTCTATTTATACATATGTTGGGCCTAGAGCCCTATAAGGAATAAGAATTCTAGACTGCCTCATATTGGGAGTCTTAGTTACATAATGATACCTAATTCTAATATACTAGATATAATGAGTACAATTCTAATTATATTGGAAATAACAGGCCCAATCCTTGACAAACTCTTGGGTTGCTCCGTCCTATACGTATTTCTTGGGCTTCCTTAATCCAGTTGCTTTCTTGGGTCGGTCCATGTGGCCCAGGCCTAGTATACTATCCATCACAATATTTTTGTTATATTTTATATTTATAATTATAAATTTGTGTCTTTTGTTTAAATTGTAAGATTGCATGGTTTTACATTACATTGAATATGCAATTGTTTTGTTCGTTTATTCACACTATCTTCAGAGGTGAAATTATAGTTTTAAAAAAATTATTACAAAAAAGAATTATTAACTGAGAATAAAACTGACACGGAATATATGGCAATTGAAATAGGAAATGAATATTAATAATTGACTGAAAATTAAAAATGTTTCTAAACTAACTCAAATGCAAAAAAAGGAAATGACCAGACCATCCAAACAATAGTATAGGTAAATTTGTAATGTATTTTGTTATTAATAATTAACTAGAAATATTTATGTAATTTTGCGTATGTTGATAATCTATTGATATTGATCTACTTTCTTATCTATCAACCAGTATGACGATATGCAACATATTATATAATCGGACAATCAATCAGATAGACAAACAGATATGATAAAAGTGCGGAAAGTAAATCAACACATTGATTTGGTTACCCAGTTTGATACTGTGTGTATCTATGTTTGGGGGACGATCACTGATGCGTCTAATCCACTATCTCCAAGTTCCAATTGTACAAAGGTAGAGAAAAATGATCTCACCCAAAATGTCCCACACTCGGTCAGTACCCAGTCTACAATGGAATAGTGGATTGTTGAAGTCGGAGAGCCATGCAACCATATGTCTAAGGAATCCCTTCAATAGAGAGCTAATATGTTTCAGTCCGCTTCAATGACGCCTCCCACACTGTTCCCACAACTGAGTGGTCTTCGCGTCCACTGTTTAAGCACAAGAGTTTCTTCTCAAGTTCATCTTCACAAATCACCAGAACTTTTGTCTTGAAAAAATATAGAATTAGAGATGAAACTTCATGATCTAGGAGAGCTTGTTAGTGATTCACGATATGATGTCTTAACTTGTGTAATCTTTCTTGAATCACCTCCCGAATATATGTATCTCTGATTCAGATTAGGGAGACACGTAATCATCAACTTGAATTGCATACTACCAAGATTATGGTCATACCCTTGAGGTGTTTGATTGACTGATAGGCATATTTTACACTCTTATTTTATATACATCTCTATAATAATTTTACATTAGTTATTTATAATTATTTAATAATTATTTCATCTTAGAGTTTAATAAGGAAATTAATTAAATAAGTACTTTATAAATATGTTTAGTTAATAATTTAAGGTTAAGTCCCCCCACTTCTTTAATATAATATAATATAATATTAAGTTTAATGTTTTGCCCAATTCATAGAAGATAAAACATTAACATTGCCTTTTGTTTCTTAATCCATACGAACAGGCGCAACATCAAATTGAATTCGTCAAATGCGCAAGTGTCGATGCATGGCGAGCTGCATTCTTGGAAGGCCACGTCGTGCGGCTGAAAATTAGGAAAACGGATGGTAGGAAATAATTTAGGAATAATTTGAGAGTGTATAAATAGTGGCAAAGTTATCTTGTTGAAATGTTTATTCTTTCCCCCTTTAAATTATTCTTTAAATTTGCTATCAATGTCCATTCGTTGTTAATTTCTTTAGCTTGATTTAGTGAATTGAAACCCTGGAATTAATTTTGTTGTAAGATTATTTATTTATTTTTTATTATATAATTTTTATGTATTTCAGTATTAAATATTCTTCTAAATTATTTGAATAGTTGTATCATTTAATTACTAGGGTGGCCTAATAGTTATTTATATGATATAATTATTTGCTATATTAGATAATGTTGTGCTACAAATTATTTTAATATTCAGTAGCAACTGAGATTAATTATTGACGGCTTAGTGATAATTGGTCTCGGGTAGAATATTTTCCTAAATTAAATGCAACCGCTTGTGCTTGTGTTATTTAGTTTGTCGGTTTTCCTAGTTCCTATTGCTGCTATTAAATTAAATCTATAGCGCTTGTCTTAGGTTATTTAGTAGTTAGGGGTAATTAAACCGCGTGTGCTTTAGTTACCTACAACTAAGGGAAAACGGAAATGAAATAATTTCACGGCAAATATTCAACTGCATATTAATTACTTTTTGAATCAATGATCAGTGTTAAATTCTGGTGGTGGATCTTCACTAGCCAAGGTTTTCTATTATAAGTGCTTTCAATATATTGTTTTCATTGCTTTATTCGTTTATTTACTTTGATTATCACTTTCATACCAAACCCCCCTTTCCTTTAATTTGAGCACATACATTGTTGGAAAAAATAGCTTAAAATGACATAAAATGGCATATTAAGTGGCTACTTTCTTGTACAATTATCAGTGGGGTCCACTTCCGATTTGGGTCGGGTCAGAGTGGATTCGGATTCTTCGTAGTGAGACGAAGAGATCGATATATTGTACACTCAGAACGGATAATGGATGAATGAGATATTGATTCTCAAAGTAGACCCACTTGAGTTGGAAAATGAAGGGAAAAAGTGAGCTTTTGTCCCACATTGCTTTGGAATGAAGATTTTCCCCCCTTATATACAAGAGCTCTTTTGAAGCTTGTAGAATTGTATAGCATAAAGGCTCTCTTGCGCGCGGGGGGGGGGGGGGGGGGGGGGGGGGGGTTGCAAATCAAATTCCAACTAGACGAGATTGCAAAAGGCTTGATTCAAGCCCGAGCTCGTGTGCGCCGGCCTTGCGGGCTAAGTTATGCCAAACTTCGGCGGTATCATTTTCCAACATGCCACTGCGACCTGCGACTTGTTTCGGTTTGGGAACCGAAACTGAACAAGGCCGAACTTGAAAGTTCGACCTTGTGGCCATCATGGCCGAAACAAACTAAATGTTTCGGCCTTGTGAGAATCATGGCCGAAACATGGTAGTTTCGGCCATGTGGGCACCGTGTTTCGGCCTTGTGCCGAAACTTTCAGTTTCGGCCTGGTGGTCGAAACTGGAAGTTTCGGCTTACACGAACTTGTGCAGTCTGTGACCGTTGGGTGTTCAATTCTTACTGTTACGGAGTTAATTCTTTGAATTAAATCCAATCTTAAATTCCGAATTGAAACCCATGGTAATGGCTGCTGTTACCAGGTGTAGTGGGGGGTGCCTTAAAGTGTCCTATTAAGAGCTATTTAATCCTTCAACCCTATATAAAGAGGAGCTGGGCAGTAGAGATTTACACACAGAAATATAGAACACGAAAGTTCATCTTTTAGCCTCAAAACCTCTTTGCTTCTACTCCTTCGTTAGCCTACTGTGTTCATAACCATGTCTTGCTCGTCGGATTCCTTGTTTGAGTGCTCAAACATTGAATCACTAGCAAGTTTTATCCTGGGAAGCCTAGGCCACACCGCTCCTAGCATCTTTGGGAAATGGCAAATAAGGTTTTAAGGAAAGAGTGCTCACTTGACTTTTGCAAAAACCCAACACCAAACACTAGCCAAATTTCTCCATCTTTCTTCCCTTGTTTTCCAGAAAATAATAATCATATTATTTTTGATTATTATTTGTTTTTCCTACCAACGGTTCCAACAGTCTTAAAACCTTATTACTTTGTTTTCCCGTTGGTGGTCTTCTCCGAATTTCCTTGAAGAAAATGGAGCATCCCGTACTGCCAATCGATGGGGAGGATAATGTT